GGTTTCAAAAACAAAATTAAGCTACCTAGGTAAATGCTAACTATTTGCTTGCTTCCAGGTGGCTATATTCTGTATTCAATATCATATTTAATTTTTGTCTTTTTTTTTTTAATTTCAAGAAAAATTCACATCCTTTATACAAATATATATATATATATATATATATATATATATATATATATATATATATATATATATGATTAATCTTGACTTATGACCTTAACTGATAAAAGACCACAATAAGATAAATTAATCTCTGTTACTCATAATTATCAACTCAAATGAAGAAGTCCAAAGTATTCCAATTTTGAACATTTACATATTACATATGAATTACTGTTATATTAAATTGTACACAAATTTTTATACACATTTTGAGACTCGTAGGCAGCGACCCTCATTTGAATAGATTTTAGTGAAGTCCATTAATTCACTAATAGCTAATAAATATTTAGATTGTGAAACCAATATTTTTATTTTTTTTTTGAATGGTACTGGCCCTATTTCATATACTTTCTCAACCTACTTAAACATACTTTCTCAACCTACTGAAACACAAAGAACCAATAACGCCTCCACTGAGGCTTGAGAACTCACAACCTTCCAAATGGAAGTCCAACCCGGATACCATTAGACCACATAGTCCTGGTGAAACCAATATTAGAATGTTTAAATTTGTGCATAAAATTTTGTGGAAGTAACATTTTTTTTAGTTAAATTAATTGATCGAATTACAATTATTATATTAGTTCGATCAACTCTATTAGGATTCTGTATTTCATCAACTTTAAAATTTTCACTATCTCTGTATATTATTGTTACTCTACTTTTATCAGTCTTGCTCTGATTAAAATTATCTCTTGTATCCTTAAAAATACACCCTTCTTATATTTTGTAAACACAATTGATCAATAATAAATAAATAAATAAATAAAACTTTCTATCTGTAGAAATTCTTTTTTCTCATCTGGTATTAGTAGACCAAAACGATCCATGGTTGCCAACCCACCCCTAGCCCCAATAAATAATCTATAGGCAGTCCATCACTTTATCTCCATCAAACTTACCTCATCCAATTATTTATTCTGAAAAACTTAGCTTGTTCCTTTTTCTCCACGATCAAAATCTCAGTGGATACGTTGATGACACATTCTTGTGCCTGGCTTCATTTGTGCAAGTTCTGAATGGGTGTTCTGTTGTAGCCAATTCTACGGCCAAAAATTGTGTCTGTTATGATTCCTTTATTTTGTTCATGCTCATCTCGTTTCTGTATAATGAAGTTATGTATGTTTTTGTGAGACATGCCATGTCATAGGTCCTATGGAAAGCTATAGAAGCAGCGTTTGGGTCCTCCTCATGGGCACAATCTTTGAGTCTCCTTAGTTAGATGCAATCATTGCGCCAAGGGATCGGAATTCCATTACAAGTGAGTATCTTGGCAAAGCCAAGGTTTTAATTGGACTACTTTGTAGAAGCCAGCTGACCAATTGATTTAGATAAGCATAATCTATACCGGTTTAAAGGCTTGAGTATAGTGTGATGGTCTCTTCATTGACCACAAAAAAACTTGTGACAATTGATCAACTAAATGACTATCTCACCACGCATTAGTTTATCTACATTGACAACATTCCTCGATCAGCTTCCCCATAGCCACTTGTAGCTTTTGTTGCTCAACATAGACCACCTACCACTTCACAATCAAAGTAACTGTTGGTCCCAAGAGAAAAAGAAAGTCTAGAAGGGGGTGAATAAACTTTCTCAAATTTTAACTTAGAAAATTTTAAAGCAATTTTAACAAAAAGAAATTTTTCAAGATAGTGTTACGTACCATCGGGTTTGCTAGTAGCAGGCAGCAAAAGTCACAAAATGACTTGTAGCGGGTTTGGACAAGTTAAATATGAGCAGCTAAGATTGTCGATCTAATCAACGGGTTAGATCACAACGCAAAGATAAATAACCTAAAAGTAAAGTGTGATAAATAAAGATAGAGATAGATATTTTTATAGTGGTTCGGTCAATCGCCTACTCCACTCTTCTCCTTAATGTCCGAGGAGGTTCCACTAATATTTATCGCAAATACAAGTGGAAGACTACGTAGAGTATTCACAAAGCACTACTAGTCAAGTATGGTGCTCCCTCAATCCGGATGTACACTTCTGTTGATCTTCAACACCTTGGTTTCACTCCAAGTGTCAGCCACAAAGTCACCTTGAGTGAGAAACAGTCAACACCAAACACTAAGTAAGATTGTTATTGTTTGCTTTCACAAACGGGTAGACTAATAAGCTCTAAGTACCATGTCATTGTCCAATGTCTAAGTCCTTAAATAACGTTCATTCTCTTTGTACTGCATGTCAACTAGGAAAATCTTAACGAAATTGGTCTCACACCTTTGCTTGCCCAAGCCTATATTCCTCTTAGGTATTGGACATATATGCCTATGAAACTGTAATTTTTCTTATTAACCATATGCCTTCTGCCACCCTAAATTAAAGAATATGATCAGGCCCGACCCTGAGCAAGGGCGAGCTGGGCCCTTGTCCAAGGCCCAGGCTTAAAAGGGGTCCATCTTAGCTCACTGTTTATATATATATATATATATATATATATATATATACTATAAATTTTACGTATAAGTAATCTATATACATTCCAACTAAATAAAATTAATTTAGCTTAGTTAGATGGAGTTGGGGACTTTAATGTTGACGTCCAGGGGTCGAGTACCTATGGCTCCATATATATATTTATTCACTTTAAAGCTTTTTTCCCAAGACCAATTTAGGGATATATTTATTCACTTTAAATATATATTCACTTTTTTTTCAAATATATATTAATTTCATGTAGGGCCTATTTTTGTTCATACGTCCCGGGCCTATAAAATGATAGGACCGGTCCTGAATATGATGAACCCCTATGCTCTTGTCAACAAAGAAAATTTTAATTATTCAATTCCTTCATGCGTGTCTTTGGTTGCTTATGTTTTCTGTAAGTGTACAAATGATACACGTTTAAACTCTTTTTTAGTTGGCTAAATTGTTTGTCAAAACTTAGGTTGTTTTAATTAGCTAGACTGTTTAGGACCGTCTTTCTGTCGGGATCTCTTCCTGCGTTTTAGTCTTCAGCCTGGATCTACCTTAGAAGTATTATGTACATGGGTCAGCACGTGGTCAGTCAAGTGACGAATTTCTCTAACTAAATTTTGGCATTTTGAACAAGTTTTCAGGCAGTGATTTAAACGAATGGAGCTCATTAATTTGAGGGAGTTGGGCGACACATTTCTAGTCCAATTAGTTACACTAATTGGACTATATAAGTTGGGGTTTTGGAGCTCATTATCACGACACTGAAGTGAATGAAATTAGTGATTAATCTCTAATATTTATATCTCATTATCTCTGTATTTGGTTGATTCAAAATCTCTACAAAGTTATCTCAAGAAGTGAGTATGACGTGTTGAAGATTGAAGTTTTATTGTGACATGCACGAACCCACTCAACGTAGATGTTTGAAACATGAGATCAAAGAGAATCAAATCAAATAACAATTCATATGTATGAATGTTAATTGTACCACTTTAGTGCTGAGTGGTGACACGTTGAATTGATATGTGCTAATTATTGTCATAATGTTTTTGTACCTTGAGTTGAATTGATTGTGGTTATGTCTAACTTATTATATTACTTGCTAGTTTATTGTAGTGTTGTTGTAATATGATTAACACGGTAATTATGTAAGCTAGGTAGAATTCATCATTTTTTTTTATACCTTGAACATACAAGATACTAAAAAATATGAACTTAGACAAATTATACCAATTATATTGAGCTTGTAGAAAGCAAATTACACTCAAACCTTTGAGCAAGCATTCAAACATATATCCATCCAACATGAATGAAAGGGAAAACAAAGATGATCCCCAACCTATCAGCATGGGATCAGTTGTCAATACAAACAACTAAGAATACGAGGAATTAGCACAAAATGAGAAAAAAAAAATCCTGACATACAAGAAACTACTCGAAATATGAACTTAGGCAAATCATACCAACCGAGTTTGTAAAAAGCAAATTGCGTTCAAACCTTCGCGCAAGCATTCAAAGATACATCTAACAGTACCTTGTGGTCTGATGACATAACTGTTACTTTCCCTATAGAATGTCTCAAGATTGAATCTCATCCCAAGCACGGGCCGAAATAATTTGTTGAAATGGGTCATGGGAGGACTAATAAGCTAGGTGAACTTGGAACTAGGTGGAACCAAGTAGAGTCAGGAACAGGGGTCTAGTGAAATGATGTGGAACCAGGAACCGAGAATAGACAAGGTGGGACCAAGAAAAAAAAAATTGACATACAAGAATTTACTCAAAATTTATTATGATAATATGAACTTAGACAAATAACACTAATCGAGCTCGTTAAAAACAAATTGCGCTCCAACGTTTGAGCAGACATTCAAACATATATCCAACACGAAGAGAAGAAAAAACAAAATAAAAATGTTCGCCACAAGTCACCATCCCATCAGCACGAAATCGATTATCAATACAAACAACTAATAAAAACATGAGGACTTAATTAGTAGCATAAAATGAACAAAAAAAATTGACTTGTTCATGGTTCTCTGGTCAGAAAGATAACGCCGGTGGGCGGTATATTAGTGAACGCAACCACCCACAAACATTATATTGTATTTTTTTTTTTTTGGCAGTGTGTCCAGCATTTTGACCGTCGAACACATTAATTAATTCCTGGTAAAATTATAAGCACATTTTTTGAGTGAGACAGCTAGCCTGAAGATTTAAGGCTGCTCTATACTTAAAGTCAAATATTAAATTCTTACATTTGATTAAAAATGAATGAGTCCCCTCCATTCAACTTTTTGCATGGAGTAACAAATATTCTTCCACTATGACAATATATTAATATATATATATATATATATACATATTATAATAATACAATATCGGTAATCCCCACTCTCTTTCTCTCTCTCTCTCTCTTGATAGTCCATACACACATGACACATAAAGCACATTAGAACGTCCACAAACAACCATCCCAAACATTCCTTTTTCTTGCTTTTAAACCCACTAGTGAGCAAAAAGCTGCTGTTTTTTCTTTTCAAGAAAATTATAATTATACAATACCCACCTCTTCTCTTCCCTTCTTCTACTTGTTCATCATCTCCTTCTTCTCCATCCATCCATCCATGGACACTGCTCAATGGCCACAGGTACACATATCTCCTTTATACCCTAGCTTCCCCATAATAACAATGGACAGATCAGATCCATTCCCCTCATCCCCCCTTTCTATGTATAATAAATTAAAAACATTATTGTTCATTAAGGTTAGTTGATGAAGAAAAGGCCAGGGATCAAGTTTTGTTCTTTGTTAATGGGGTTTTCTTGGGGGGGATGAAAAAGTGTAAAGCATCCAACTTTTGGTGTTTGTTTGTTTGTCTTCTTTTTATACTTTTTTTTTTTTTTTTTTTGCTGAATTCCTCTCTGTGATGCATGATGGAAATTGCTGATCTTTTTTGTATAGGAGATAGTGGTGAAACCAATGGAAGAAATAGTGGGAACAATAAGTAGTGGCTCAAACAACTCATCAAGTAAACCATCTTCTTCTTCTTCTTCTAGTGTGGAGAGAAAAATTAGGCCCCAGAAAGAGCAGGCTGTGAATTGTCCCAGGTGCAACTCTACTAATACTAAGTTCTGCTACTACAACAATTATAGCCTTTCACAGCCCAGGTATTTCTGCAAGACTTGCCGGAGATACTGGACGGAAGGGGGATCTCTGAGGAATATTCCGGTGGGGGGTGGTTCCCGGAAGAACAAAAGATCTTCTTCTTCTTCTGTTTCTTCTGCTTCTGCTAATGGTGGTTTAGCAGTGAAGAAGCTGCCTGATCTGGTGCCACCTGTCCCAATTCCCCATCATCATCTCCATCATCAACAACAACAAAACCCTAGCAAGATCCATGATGATGATCATCAAGATCTAAACTTGGGGTTTTCCCACCACCATCAAGATTTCAAGACTATTACTGAGCTGATCCAGGTGCCAAACTACGAGAGCAATAACAGCAAAGATGGGGGAAATCCTCACCATCCATCTTCTTCATCATCATCATCTACGGCCACTCATCAACTCTCAGCTCTGGAGCTCTTGACGGGAATGACCTCATCAAGAGGACTCATGAGTTCTTTCATTCCCATGCCCATTCCTGACCCTAATTACTCATCTTTCCCTCTCCCGGAATTCAAGCCATCCCTAAACTTCTCCCTCGATGGGATTGGGAATGGCGGTGGAGGCGGCGCCACCGCCGCCTATGGGAATCACCACCACCACCATCTTCCAGGTATGCAAGAGACAACCACTAGTGGCGGCGGTGGCGGTGGTGGAAGGCTTTTCTTTCCTTTTGAAGATTTAAAAAGCACTACAACCGCACCAGATGGAGGCGAGCAAGACAGAGACAACCCAGCAGCCGGGGAATCAACTGGCCATGGATTTTGGAATGGAGTCTTGGGAGCTGGAGGGGGTTCATGGTAATTGATTAAGAAAATATATTTAATTTTATCTCAGATTTTCTTTCTTTTTTTGGGAAGGGGAATTTTTTTTGTTTTTTTTTTTCACTGTTTTTATCTTAGTGTTTATTTAATGGTGGGTGACTTGTTTGGATTTCTTGGGAAAAAAAAAAAAAAAAAAACTAACATATAGGAAACAATCAAGGGGTTTTCTCTCTATCTAGCTCCTTCCTTATTCATTCCTGATGATCACTATATTACACATTTTGGCTGTGCTGGGGTGTTAGAAAATTATTGTTTTTAGGCAATATTCAAGAGTGATGGAAGAAGAAGAAGAAGAAAAAAAGCCCAGAATTTTTAAGTGGGCCACTGATCTGAGTTAAAGAAAGAATATTATTGAAAGCCAATTATACATGTTATTACAGAGAGGGGGATATATATATATATTTCATGACTGCTTAGCTTGTATATATATATATATGATCCCTCTCTGCATTTTACTATGTGATTCTTCATTCTATCACACAAAAAATTGAAGGCAAAAAGATCCTTAATATTATCTACTCCTCTATATGTGGTTGGTTGGTTGGGTTGGGTTGATACTTCAATTCAATAATGTATAATCTGTAAGCTAGCTTAGCTAGATCCATGTTTGTACTTGTACTGAGTTGTATTAATTGACTGTATTTTAGTTCTTTTCTTTTAGGTTTGCAAATATGGTTTTATATAATTCACTGCAATATATTTCCCACTATGAAGATTTCATTTATTTATTCAAGAACTAATTAACCTACCATGCACCATACCAGTATGTTTTTTGAGCGATATATATGATGCAGCATTTCATAATCTGCATTTACTTGCATTATTGATTAGTTGATCCATACAAAAGAATGACACCAGGACAACCACTCCAGCCAAGTTAGTCAGCCCAGTGGCTTGGTAACCCAGAGGATACAAGTTTAACTCTCGAGAGTGATCTATTATTAGCCTTCTTGGTTCGAATCGGTCAACTATAAATAATTTAGACTGGTTTACATTTTTAGAAGGAGGATTTACCTAGTATAGGAGTAGGGTAAGTAACAGATATACCTGCTACAATAACCAAAAAACTCACCTACTATGAGACCATGACTGACACCTGTTTGTACAAGGAAGGAGTGGTGAATATAATGTGTTGTTTCAATGGATGATGATTATATTGCAGTGCTTGGCCATGCCATGTTCTCTGCCATTGTTTCAAACTTAAAAAGATCTGACAAACCCTACCCTCTTTTGGTCATAACCATGGGACCCACAAACATTCTTCTGGGTAGGCGTGCTATGGAATAATCTCTCCCACTTACTCCATCTAAATTATCCCACCATCCACTCCCAGATCTACACTCTATTTTTATTTTTTTAAAGTTGGATTTTTAGGAATATTATATTTTATTGATTGATTAATGGGTATGTAGGGTGTTTTGTTTAATTAGTTTTCCTGCTGTAAGTCACTTCACCGATCACCACACTGGATGAATGTGCACGGTGTAGGGAAGGGAAGGGAGGGGTCGTTTTCTTGGGCCTGTTTTTAGTTTTAGGGTAGGGTGTTGGATGGGCTTGTGGTTTATCCAACGTTAACTGTCGTTTTGTTTGTATTAGGAAGTTTAGAAAACCGAGCAGATCAGAATTCAGACCACATTATTAAATTTATGAATCACCTTTTCATTCATCATGAAATCAGACCACCGCCTACGCTTTCGCGTCATCCTATGAAAGAATCCTTGGAAGAGAGCGATGAGGTCCCAATGGTCCTGATTAAACAACACAACTCAACTTTCATGCGTGTTGCCTTAGCTTGCCCAACAGAAAGTGGTGGATTTGGTGGGAGTGGCTAGCGCAACAATTCAGCTGGGGATTCATATATGTACCAAGACGTGTTCAACAAGTCTAATAACCAGCTTGGTTAGCATAAATAATCGTGCGCTCTTATTTCTTAAGAGAAGTCTCAAACCCCTCTCGTATGAAAAAATCAATCTGACCAGTACTGACGAATGGAAATTAATCTCAATCTGACCAGTACTGACGAATGAAAATTAATCTAAATATGGAACGAGTTTAAAAGTGCCTCTTACAACCTGCTCAAGATTCCTAATGGTTAAAAAAAATTTTTTTTTTAAAAAAAAAAAAAAAAAAGTCTAATTAGCATGCACAACAAAACAAAAAACGTGCAAGCAAGTGTTACAGTACAGTTTCCCAGGATATGTAATCCCTGGGGATTATGTAACAAGATCAATCCAAACAAGTAAAAACAATGCAAGAGTTGAGTTCATGATAATCTTTCCCTTAAAACAAGTAAGTGTTGTGTGAATTGTGAAATAAAATTTCTTAAATTGTTGGGAGTTTCAAGTTTTCAACAGATGGGGCTGGTACAAAGATATGAGTTCAGTTCATATAAGGAACGAACGAACATCCCCCACAAGAGAGATCGAGCCCTTCGTTTTTACACAATATATAGAGACCCTTTCCAGTTCAAACATGCATCATCTGTACAGGGGCGGGGGGCATTCTCAATTTACTCGGGAGAGGACGTCAAAATGGATTCATACTTTATAGTGAGTGGAACCAACACTCAGCTCTCTCACTGATCTGCATTGATCCCGAAGATGCGAACTTTGTGCATATGAGGAAACTTGGCAACAACCAATATAAAAACCGCCACTGTGTTCAGGAACAGCATTGGGTGTTGATAATCAGTTGTGTGAGAGGCTATTAAATACCTGCTCAACCAAAAAAAAACAAGTCTTTTTCACGCTCAGCAAATAAAGGAAATCTAATAGATGCAGTTCAGATAATTCCAATAATATCTGCATTTTCTTCTTCTTTTATCTTTTATACTTTTTGCACTGTTGCACACATAAAGAAATAAATAAACAGATTGCTATTTCATATTTCTTCCAACCCCCAAAAATAGAAAGAGGAAATAACAAAAACACAAAACTGTCCATCTGTGACCACTTTTTATCAGCCCAAGTCACCAACCGGCACCTTTATTCAACAAGGAAATTATTCCATAACCCAGAAATGTTGCATTCCTTTTTCCCTAGAAGTCAATTCCAGATCTTGTTGCTTATTTATTCCATAGATGATTAAAATATATGTTTTATGTTTACTTTCTAAACCCCTTTCAAATCATCCTCCAACAGCATTTGACTCAAAGCAAAGCATGTATCTGATAAAGCATCTAGGTTATTGCCATGGTCAGGGACTTTTTCCAAATTCATCAACAAGCCCTTAAACTTGTGTCAGATTAGAAAGTTGGGCTTTTCTGCCAGAGTTTGTATGGGCAATCTAAAGCAGGACAATGGAACAGTACTCAAGAGACCAGAACATCAATTATGGCTTCTTACTCCTTAATTTACCCTGTTATCACTTTCAGAAGGAATAAACACTCTGGGTTCTTCCTTAGAGACAAGAAGAGCTTAATTGACAAGAGTTAGCCAAACCACATATTTGGTTGAGATGCTCAGCTTAAGGCTTAAGTATAATCTAAGCACTGCTTCAATATATGGAAAAACACCCTGTTGCTACACTTCCCAAAATCCAATTTCAGTTAAAGAATGGAGTAGAGTGATCAAGATTAGACCCTCTCAACATAGCCATGCACATCAAGGCCGAGCTCAAGCATACCTTGTTACTTGTTAGAACAACAAAGGAGCTCTTCAGTGACTATTAAATTGTATTGAATATAAAGGCACACAATGGAAGGAATGTGCTCAATTTTGCATAAATTTCCTAGGAAAGGAGGAGGTAGACAAAACACTTGTTTGGATAGACATTATGGAGCAAGATAAACTAGTTATTGCAATCAATATGGATTTAGCATTCAATAGAACAAATAAAGAAATAGAATTCATGCCTTTGACCACAAGTAAAACTAAAGAAAGCATACATTAAAGCCTAAAATCAATTAAAGTATCCAACACACATCTCGCAAGAGGAACTGCAAGACAAATAATTCATATGAGAATGAGCAAGCAATTTCATCCATCTACAATTTAACCAATTGCATAGTTGCATGTAACAAGAGATATCATATATGACACGGTAGGCATCAAAAGTCGGCCAAAAAGACTGGAGCATTGAAGTGAATACTCACAGTACAACAGGGACAACTGTCAGAAACTTTCTATTGCGTGTAAGCTGCTTGCCATTATCTATTTGTTCCCACCAAGTCAACCTATTGTAAATACCCTGGTCATCTGCAAAAGGTGTTCCTTTCTTCCAGTGAAAGAAGTGATATGTAATCTGCAGGGAACACCAAAACAGACAAAGTGATATAAAATCTACAGGAAACACCAATTAGACATCATTTCATTTTCATTAAATAGGATGACATCCTTCCAGAGACAGACATAATTACATAAAGGACACACCTTGAACTTCTTTCAAGGTTCTAAGCACCCTAATGGAAGTAATAGCTAAAAACCCTATGTGGAAGTTATGTTACATTTCCCAGGGAAATTGCATAACTTGAACCAAACATGAAAATCTTATATTCCAAGCAAATATAACCTTGTTCATCTTATATAACCTGAACCAAACACCCCCAAGTAACAAAATATCCCCTTTGCAACATCCTAGAATTCACATAACCAAGGAATCACCAGAATAAGATGCAGCTGAGCATCATAAATTCGCCCACCATTTCAGAGTACAGATTATGAAATTGCTTCCACCGGTAGCTAAAGAGATGGCATATTAGGTTTACTAATCAGCACCAATTACATCTACTCATAACAAGTTTCAATTGCAATCTCGCGCGTCCAAGCCTCTAATTGCAAATTAATTTCCGATAGAAAATGAAAAACTAGTGACACGACGAAGCACAAACAAAAAAAAAACACCAATCAACGAGCATAAAGCGAGAAGTAAAATCCAGAAACGGATCAATTTAATGAGACAAAAATAGGAAGCAAATCTATGAGCTAAATGGTACCATGAAATGAGAGAGGTTGACGATTGTCCAGGCGGTGCCGGGAGAGCAGCCGAAGACGGAGAGAAAAACGAGCCATGAGAAGAAGAGGATAAGGATGTAGGTGGACCATACCCCTGGATACGTGAACCACTCGGTGTTTTTATTCAGATCCGTCGTCGGCGCCGCCCTGACATACAAATTCGCCATCCAATTCAAACAACAAGAACTGGAAGATCCGACGATTGAAGGCCTTGCTTGGAATTTGGAAGGGATTGGGCGTTTCTACCTACCAACCCAACCCAACCCAACCCAACCCAACCCGCAATCTCAACAAAGAAAGAGAGAAGTAAAAAGTGAAAGTGAAACGTAAACGAAAATGGAAAAAGCGAATCGCAGAATGAAAGAGACAGGCGAGTATATAGATGGATGAAGAAGAGGAGAGGCAAACTCGATTAGCTTTTATGTAGGGGATGGGGGCCGGCCCTTGCAGAGATTCCAGATTTTCCACTTTTTGTTTCATTGCTTTGCGGACACAAATTTCTACGTTGCACAACACATTCACGGTGTTGCTTCATTACATTTTTGGTTTCAGTAAAATCCCAATTTTTTTTTTTTAATTTTTTATTTAACTCAAACCACAAGGTCTGCATGTATTTCCATATTAACAAATTATGAATCAAGCTTATCCTATCACTAATCTTTATCCACACCATAACATATACTTGAGAATAAGTGATAAAATTATAATTATATTAAAATATTTTTAAAAATAATAAATAGATAAATGAAACAAGTCATACAATTCATATTATATATCTAGAGCAAATACCAATGTTGATCCTACGGGTATTAGCAAAATAACACTTTTGGTCTACATATTTAATTCCTACCAATTTAATCCGCTACTATTGTTTTACTGTTAAAATTCATCACGTCAGTCACCCCACACTTAGGATTAAGGTTGCAAAAATCGGGCCTAGGCGCTAGGTGGCGCCCGGCCGCGGCCTCCTCTGCGGTCGACCGCCTAGCCGGCCGAACCCCGGTTTTTTTACATCATTTTGGCGAATAACCTAAAATAAAATAAAAACAAATCGGGCGTCTAGCGTTTTTTTCAACACTGCTTAGGATATGACGAAATCTGAAATTATTAAGCAGTAAGATCTCAATTCATCCTTTCATAATTAAAATCCCTATTTGAGCATGAATAAAGAGATTTAAGCCATAAGATCTCAATTCGTTGTTCCCTTCCTAGATCCCAAGTAGATCTTCTCAAATGAATAGCTCATATTGGTTCCTATTTATTTTCTGGGCGCCCGTTCTCACTAGAGTACTTCCATATATATATAAATAAATAAATAAATAAATAAATAAATATATATATATATATATATATATATATATATATATATAATAGGATCAAATGAGAACAAATCCTTATGAGAGAAACAAGAACCCCTCTCTACTTTACATCTGGAAAAATCAGACGAAACAGATAAAAATCTTTAAAAAATGCGGTGGTATTTTGTAATTATCACCAACTTTATTATGCAAGCTTGAATACTAAAATCTGCAATTCGCATATTGTCATACATTTCTATATTTGCACATTTAGTATTAATATTTTTCCCATTTAGTATTAACATTTTGCATATTTAGTATTAAAATATTGCACTTGCAAAAATGCGAAAGTGCATTGCACTTAGGGAGCGTTTGGTTCACGGAATGTTAGATTCCTGTGTTTAGTTTAAAACTAAGGTATGTAAATAAGACATCTGTAATAAGACAAATTGATTAAAATGCCAAAAGCCCAAAAATAGTAATAAGACAAGGGAATGTGAGATTATCTAAGAAATTGGAGGATATCTCACATTCCCTATAGCTAAAAATTTAATCTAGAGGTTATGTGACATTCCCTGTGAAAATTACATAACCTGAACCAAACATGGGAATCTTATATTTCCAAGCAAATATAACCTAAGTTATCTTATTGACGGTAAGTATGTTATCGGAAATATAATATGAGAATAACAATAGTTGTATTGCAAGTGTTTCAGTACAGAATTCAGTGTGTCCCCTGCTAGCTGAGGGGAGTTCTGCTTATACTGGGTCCTAACGGTAACAACATGGTGGGACATAAATGGGGAGTTGAGGCCTTTAATTCTCTGTAAGTTTCTGCAATTCTTATTTATTACTCTGTAAGTTTCTGCAATTCTTTATTATTTATTATTATTTATTTATTATTTATTTTTTGCAATTCTTTATTATTTATTATTATTTATTTATTATTTATTTTTTTTTCGTTGAGGCGGTCGACTGCCTCGGCCGACGAAAGGAGAGAATTAAAGGCCTCAGTTCCCCATTTATGTCCCGCCATGGTTTCTGCAATTCTTATTTATTACTCTGTAAGTTTATTTATTTATTATTTATTTTTTTTTCGTTGAGGCGGTCGACTGCCTCGGCCGACGAAAGGAGAGAATTAAAGGCCTCAGTTCCCCATTTATGTCCCGCCATGTTGTTACCATTAGGACCCAGTATAAGTAGAACTCCCCTCAGCTAGCAGGGGACACGCTGAATTATGAATTATGAACGTTCCCCATTTATGTCCCGCCATGTTGTTACCATTAGGACCCAGTATAAGTAGAACTCCGCTCAGCTAGCAGGGGACACGCTGAATTATGAATTATGTACTGAAACACTCAGCTAGCAGGGGACACGCTGAATTATGTACTGAAACACTTGCAATACAACTATTGTTATTCTCATATTATATTTCCGGTAACATACTTACCGTCACTTATATAACTTGAACCAAATACCCCTTTAGGGTTTTGATTTTAGAGTTTATGACTGAGTTTTTTTTTTTTTTTTTGAAAGTTGTTGGCTCTATTACATTGTAGTATCTGTTCATATACTTTCTCAACCTACTGAAACACAAAGAACCAATAACACCTCCACTGAGGCTCGAACTCATAATCTTCCAAATGGAAGTCCAACCCGGATACCATTATGACTGAGTTTTTGGTTTTATTTGGTTTAGTGGTTCACTTTTTTACTACTTAAGATCCAGCATTTACGGTTTATATTTAAAATTTAGATTTTTCGTTGATTTTATAAAATGTACCAGGTTTGCATATTTAGTTGTTAAATATTTCATATTTAACTGTTCATGTTTGCATAGTGAAGTTGATGCTAATTACGAAAATATCACCGTGTTTTTTTAATTTGATCAAATCCGTCGAATTTTTACAAATGTAAAGTTGAGATGGGTTCTTATTTCTAGCATAGTATTAGTCATATACTAGTTGTGGTCATCCAACTTTTAAACGACCACGAGACGTCCTTCATCTTTTCAAAAATAACCACTCGTGGTCCTTCCGTTAGATTTTCTGTCAAAATGGTGTTAAATTGGAGGGCAAACTTATCCTTTTACTTGACTTTCACGTCCACCCCTCCCTGCAGAGGCGCGAAGCCAAGAAAGAAAGAAGTGAAGGGTCAGCCTCTTCTCTCTCTATTAGACCAATTTGTTTTTTGCATTAATCCTGAGGGTGGATAAGTAAGCACGATTAGAGAAGGAAATGTTATTCAGTTTCAACAGAACAGAGATACAGGAGAGTATATAAAACTATACCACTAATGTCTCCTAACTAATAGCCTAGTCACCTGAGACTTATTCTAATACAAGATAATACTAGACTAAGATAATAATAATAAATGTAACAAATAATAATATCACTAACACACCCCCTCAAGCACAAGGTAGGTGAGCAACCACATTGAGCTTGGTCCGAAGAGTAGAGAAACGCGGCCCCGGCAGTGGTTTGGTGAAGACATCGACGAGTTGATCCTTGGTTGACACAAAATTAACCGCAAAGTCCCTGGACGCAACCATGTCACGAACAAAATGATAGTCGATCTCGACATGTTTCGTCCGAGCGTGAAAAACTGGTTGGCGTAGAGATACGTGGCACCCAAGTTATCACACCAAATACTGGAAGGTTTCCCGTTATGCAGTCCTAGCTCGCGGAGTAAAGAGACAACCCAGGTTACATCAGCAGCGACATCTGCCAAAGCTTTGTATTCTACTTCAGTGGATGAGCGAGCCACAGTGCGCTGCTTCCGAGATTGCCAGGAGATGAGATTGTCCCCTAGGAATACAGCATAGCCACGGGTGCTTTTCCTGTCTGTAGGACAACCGGCCCAGTCGGAGTCTGAATATGCATGTATGGTAGTAGTCGGTGAAGGCGTGATCTGTAACCCAAAAGTAAGAGTACCCTTGACATAGTGCAACACGCGCTTAACCAAGGCCCAATGGTCAACAGTCGGAGAGTGCATAAACTTGCACAATCGATTGACCGCAAAAGAGAGGTCTGGCCGTGTGATGGTGAGATACTACAGTGCCTCTACTATGCGGCGATATTGTGTTAGAATATCAAACAGCTCATCAAACGGAGTGACAGCTTTAGTGACAGCAGCTGGTGTAGCAAGAGGCTTGCAATCAACCATCCCAGCTCGGCTAAGTAAGTCCGTCATGTAATGCCACTGCGAAAGAACCATACCGCCTTCTGCCTCAATTGTCTCAATGCCCAAAAAGAAGCCTGGTTTGCCTAGGTCTCGGATTTTGAAGGCAGTGGCGAGGCGAGTAAGGAGGGAGTTGACCAAGCTGGCGTCGCTGTCCATCATGATGATGTCATCCACGTAGACAAGAAAGAACACCTTTGACCCGCGAGTGGTGTTGTAAAATAGAGAAACGTCTGTCTTGGACGAGGAAAAACCTGCAGATATTAAGAAATCGTGAAGCCGGGCGCCTGTTTGAAGCCATAGAGCGAGCGTTGCAAGTGGCAAACATGACCAGGGTGAGCCGGGTCTTCAAACCCCAGTGGCTGTTTCATGTACACTGTCTCAGCCAAGTGGCCGTTCAGGAAGGCATTGTGGACATCTTACTGCCGCAGAGTCCAATTGTGGGAGATTGCCAATGAAAATAGGATACGGACGGTAGTGGGTTTTACCACCGGGCTAAAACTGTCGAAGAAGTCTTCTCCGGCCACTTGATTAAATCCTTTGGCGACTAGACGCGCCTTGTATCGCTCCACAGACCCGTCTGCAGTGCGTTTGGTGCGGAATACCCATTTGCACCCAATGATGTTCATAGTAGGCTCAGGTGGAACAAGTGTCCAAGTGTTGTTATGGAGCAGGCATTGAATTCCTGATCCATAGCATCCCGCCACTGCGGATGCCCGACAGCCTGGGAATAGCATGTGGGGTCAGTCGTTGCAGTGAGGGCCTGAAACTCTTCATTAGTGCCCCGAGTCATGTGCCGAAGACGCATGACGTGCCCCTGGTCTGGAGGTTGCACCTGAGTAGTGCGTTTCTGAACCCGAGGTGGAGAGGTGTGAGCAATGGCTAAGCAAGGTGGCTCCTGAGCAAGTGGAACTGCCTCAGTGACAGGTGTGGGCCCGGTGTTATATGCAGGAGCTTTTTGTAATAAAGGTATGACGGGACCCGAAGCCCAAGGTGATGAGGTGGACGGCGGGGCCTGTTGCATCAGTCCTGTATTAAAAGGAAACACACATTCATCAAACCGCACGTGGCGACAGATATAGATTTTCCCACTGGTTAGATCCATACATCTGTACCCCCTATAGGACGGTGGGTAACCTAGGAAGACGCATGGGGTGGAGCGATACTCTATCTTGTGCTGATTGTAAGGCCGAAGATAGGGGTAACACTGACACCTGAAGACACGAAGAAATTGATATGGTGGTGGCTTTTTGTATAGACGAGAGTAAGGGCTTTCAAAATTAAGGACTTTAGTGGGGAGATAGTTTATTAGGCACGTAGCAGTTTCAAAAGCGAAGTCCCAATATTGTTGTGGGACGTTGCCTTGCGCGAGGAGAGCTAAGCCCGTTTCCACAATATGGCGATTACGGCGCTCAACTCTCCCATTTTACTCGTGCGTATATGCACACGACTGCCTGTGATCGATATCTAATAACTGAAACCTAGCACGTAATTTGCGGTATTCACCGCCTAAGTCGGATTGAATAGATTTGATAGAGCGCGAAAACTGCCGCTCTACCAACACACAGAAAACATCAAAAACTTTATAGATGTCTGATTTTACCCATAATGGGTAAAACCAGCATAAACGGGTGAAATCATCAACGAACAATACAAAGTACCTAAAACCTTTAGATGAAACTACAGGGGCAAGCCCCCAGATATCTGTATACAGTAGGTCTAGTACATTGTGGCTAGAACTTTGAATATTGTCTAAATTAAAACGAGACGACTTGCCGAGATGGGAAGCTGTACATGATTCTAAGACTTTGACATTATTTGGCTGAACCAGGCAATTTTGGAGAATTTTATTTTGAACTACGTTGTGAGGGTGACCAAGCCTGCAATGCCATACTGCGGGTGTTGCATGGGAGGTGACAAAGGCAAACTGACTCCGTGACACAGGAAGCTTGTATAGACCGCCAGCAGTAGGCCCCTTAAGAAGTATGGCCTTGGTTTTGGAATCCTTGCCAGAGGTACGGGAGCCGAGGTTACGTCGCCGGAGACCGCCACGTTTGCCTGCACAGGTGGTTAGGTGGAGTACCGTTTATAGCAATAAACGGCGGTGTGACCCTGAGCTCGACAAATCTGACACCGTGGGAGACCCCGGCCGCCGCGTCCACGGCCGTTGTTGCTGTTACGACCACCGCGGCCTCCTCGCCGTTCACCATTGCCATGCGGATTGCCATGGCTACCTCGATCACACCCTGCATACAGCGCCGCATGGGACGCCGCTGGAACGCCATCACCTGCCAGTAGATAATCGTCGGCGAGAATGAAGTCGGCAGCCTGAAGGTAATCGGCCAACTACGGGAGAGTCACCGGCGAGTTGGCGGTGAGGGAAGTTGTGTAGGACTTGTACTCCGGTCGAAGGCCCCGTAGCACGTACAGGTTCTGTTCTGCAAGCGACAGGGGCTATCCGGCCTGTGCGAGAGTGGCGAGGAGGAGCTCGTTCTTGCCGAGGTAATCTGCCGGCGTCGAGCTGCCTTGTCGGAGAGATTGAAATTGCCCAAGCAAGTTCAGGCATCTTGCTTGGGTGTTAGAGCCTAATGCCGTGCAGATGGATCGCCACACCTCGACCGCTGTGTTCTGGCCAACTGCAAGGTGGAGAACCTCGTCGGACATTGACGAGATGAGAAGGGAAAGGATCGATTGATCCTGTTGAATCCAGGCCTTGTGTGCCGGATTGGGGGTTGGGTCCGCCGTAGTCGCGCCAGAGTTGGAGTCGCCGACTGGTGGAGAGACGATGGTTGGAGGAGGACACAGTGAAATGCCATCCACAATGCCGATGAGATCCTGTCCGCGTAGAAACGGAATGAGCTGGGTACGCCAGAATAAGAAATTCCTGGATGTCAACTTCATAGAGATGGAGTGATGAGCTCCCGTTAATGGGTTGGTGCCGGTTGGGGATGAGCTGCCGCCGGCGGAAATCGTCCTCTCGGAGGAGTTCGACGACATGGTGGTGGGTCGCGGCTGTTTTCTGATGAAAGAGGAGAGAGGGAGGATCGACTTGGCTGATACCAGATTAGAGAAGGAAATGTTATTCAGTTTCAACAGAACAGAGATACAGGAGAGTATATAAAACTATACCACTAATGTCTCCTAACTAATAGCCTAGTCACCTGAGACTTATTCTAATACAAGATAACACTAGACTAAGATAATAATAATAAATGTAACAAATAATAATATCACTAACAAGCATGGTCCAATGATCTGAATTTCGCAAATAATCTTTGATAAAGTCATTGTGCTTGTAAATTTGCAGACAGCGAAAAGGTAGGGACGGGAGTTTCCGATAGGTAGTTCGGAAATAGAGGGGTCGTCTATTCCGTCCTCTCTTTACGCTTATCTCTTCAGAACTTGTGCCTCAAACAAAGCCATTGTCGATGCCCGAAAAGTGGAGTTTCACTTGGTCACCTTTTCCCCGAACCCGCGCACTGTTTTTGCTCAACGGAGCTATAGAAGCTTTCGGAAAATGCGCCTGCTTGAGGGATGGCCAAGAGTTGTTTGACGAATTGCCTCAATGAGACGGCGGGTCTAGGAATGCGATGATTACTGCTTTTTATTCTTACACCTCCGATCAGCCCACCTCTCTTGCCTTTTGCAGACGACCAGTCCGTATCTGTCAGAAGAGTACGACGTCGTACCAGCCTGCCTTGCCGTGTGAGTGGATCGCTGTTAGCTAACTCTACAAGCATGACCACGGTGGTGTTAGGGATTATCTCTACAACAGGATGTATATGATGCCACTCTCAAGCATTGAGAGCTACATGTTCCAGAGTGCGCTGCAGCCTGCAAGTGCACTGGTTCTTGATGGCGGAGTTGGAGGACATAGATGATAATGAGGGGATCAGTAGGATTCAGGAGAAGTGCTAGATTGCTGCGACTTTGATGGGGGAGTGGCCTCCCTTGATAAAGTCTCAAAATTCCACGTCAAGCCCCATGGGGAAGAACTAGATGCTTAATAAATTAATGTCTTCCAAGTAGAGGTTGTTATCATGGATTTCTTCTCCGCTGGTGGTACAGCACAATCGTTGTCATTTTCACCCAATTCAGTAAGCCTTTCACAGCAGGATGACAATGGTGGAAGTAAAATATTACCTCCAGAGGAGAACAAGATATTCAAGAAGCTGATCCCAGGTTCGAAAGTACGAGATGCATTGGTCTTTAGGAAATAAGCAGAAAAGAAATATGACAGCACATATAATGATAGTTTTTTCAAGAGGCTTTTGAGGGATAGTAGGTAATGAACTGAACGAAGCCTTTAAGGAGATAATATAGGTGAAAAGACAGCATTGCCCCTCACATTTAACGCCAATTTAACACAAAACTTAATGAAGGACCACGGGTGGTTATTTTTAAAAAAATGGAGGACGCCTCGTGGTCGTTTAAAAGTCGGATGACCACAGCTGGTATATGGCTAATATTTGGAGGACCATTGGAGTATTAACTCCACACACACAAAGAGAGAGATTGGTAAATATATAAATAATAAATGATACTTCATAGTAACATATATTTGGTATAATATAGTATTTATAATTTAATAATTAAGTAAATTGTTTTGTTTGGTAATGTATTCAAAGTAAATACAATTAATAATGAATTAACGGAATATTTACAAAATGTTTGGGTTGGGAGGCCGGATTGAATTAGATGGGAAAAGAATTGTAATTCGGTGAAAAAAAAATAAAGTGAAAATTTAAATTACATTTTTTGGTAGACATGAATATAACGATTGGGTATTGAAAGGGAAGAAGTTTATAAAGACTAAAATGCTCTTATAACAATAACAATAACAATAACAATAACAACAACAACAACAATAATAATAATAATAATAATAATAATAATAATAATAATAATAATAATAATACATGTAAAATAGTCATTTACCATGGAATTACAATTTCATAAAATGTGGAATTGCAATTCCATGATTTCCCTCCAACCAAACTATGGATAATTCCATAAAATTTAGTATGAATGGAATATTTGATTCGAAAAGATTATACTACAATATTTGTAACATAACGTACAATTTGACAAGCATAAAAATACATGCATAATTCAGGATACAATCTGCATTAGCTATTATATTATATAAGTTAGTTAGA